AATGTTGATGGAGAATAGTTGAAAATGTACCTGCTACTAACTATAAAAATCTTTCCMGCTCTGTGACAGGTTCTTAATATGATTTGTATTATTCCAAGGTGTGTGGCTTTTGAAGTGAAGTTGAGTTTGTAAGAAAGAGGTGGCTGTGAGACTGATTTAGTCAGAAACATGGTTGTGGGAATAGAGTGGTCAGTTAAGAAAGAGTAGAGTCTATAACAGGAAAATAAGTACTTTTAAACATCTTAAGTTTTCATGAAGATGTGAAAGTGAATGACGTCTCTGTATGTGTTGTGGATGGAGAAGGCAGCAGGTGACCAAAATGCAGTACATCTACAGGAAACAGAGCAGGCTTGTCTACAGGATACAGGACAGCTCCTTGGTCTCATAAGTCTAAACTGATCTCTTTATTCAAGGCAGGGATATAATWTCCACATATTAATGTATTTTTAGGGTCAATGGGGAATATCTTCAGTGCGTGCTCTGGGTGTCCCTGCTTAAGCAGAAAGGTTGGATTAGATGATCTCTAGAGGTCCCTTTCAACCTCAACCATTCTGTAATTCTGTAATCTATTTGAACTCTTGCAATAAAGACCTAGAATGTCCATCCAGTAAATCCTGCCTTAGGGCCAATGGTCTCTGGTTGAGCAAAGGTCTGCCTTTGAGAAAGTTACCCCTTCTTCCAGTGACTGATGCTTCAGAGGAAGAAGTTCTTTGAACAGACAAAATGTTATCTGTCCTGTTGTGGTATTTATCCAGAGCTTAGAAATTATGAAGGACAGGGGAAATGATCAATGTAGATGGTAAAAAAAAAAAAAAAAAAAAAAAAAAAAAAAAGATTAAATAAAAATAAATCTTTGTGCTTCTCTAACAATTGTACCTTCAGCCGGTATGCACAAAGCAGGAGCTCCAGTCAGCTGCGTCTTTCCTTCTCGCTTCAATATCAGCTATCATGACTAATGCCAATTTGGAAATATATTGACACCCTGACGTGTATAGGTTTTTAGGAGGTAAAGGTAAAATTCCCAGTGTAAAGTGAAAAATAATAAACTCACTGCTGTGGCTACTAGGTGCGCCATGCAGAGCAACTCTAGGAGCCTGAGCCATTTGTGCCTTTTTTTGTGCTTCAGTTTTTTCTTACTGCTTCACCAAGTGCTGATGAACCAGTAGCATAAAAAGAGAGATTTCTAGTGGTGTTTTAGCTCTGTGCATCAAGCTGTCCAAGAAAACCAGAAACAGATGCCTACTGTTTATTAAGCACCACTATGAAGTGATTCGATTCAGAACAGCAATGTTCCGGCATGGGGGATGGAGGGAGACATGAAATGTTTTCTTTTAATTTATTTGGCAGCAGGGGAGCCTGGTAGAAACCAATTTATAAATTCTGTAGGTATCCAATCTATTTTTGTCATCTGGACAACTAAAAGCTGTAAATATAAAATAACGCTGCCCTGACAGTGAGCTATACTTCCTTTGCCATTATTCCGAGCAGCCGTGGAGCCCGGGAGCTTTGCTGACATGAGAGAGTTATACAGGTTCCCCAAATGAGGAGTGCAGCCAGCCACCGTTACCACAAGGCATGCAATTTTTCTTTTTTTCCCATTGGTTCAGTACATGTAACAAGTTTTTTAAGCAGTCATTGTGGTTGAAAGAAACTAGAAAAGGGCAAAGGACAGGAGAAGCATAGCTCGTGTCTCTAGATGAATTCCAACATGTGCTGGGAGCTTATGAGGTAAAAACTTCCAGCTAGCGTAAGCCTCCGCATATATCTTGTAAGACAGTCTGGCTTTTGTTTCATCTTTTTCTAAAGTTTTTTGAGGGACAAGGAGACAGAAGAACCACCCACTATCTGTTGGCATTATCCAAGAGCATTTTGTGACAAGTTGTCAACTATCTCTAAATCTTAGACCTTTTATGGCTGCCTTTGTGGTTGTATTTTAGCTCATGACTGTCTTCATATGTCCTTTATATACGCAGAATTCAGTTAAAGAGAAGGAAGGTATCTAGCGTGGGGTCTCTCAGGACGCCTCACCTAGAACAAGGAGCTGGATTCATTCCTTACAAGTGCCCCAAAGAAAGGAGATCTCTTCATTTCTCTTCCCCACATGTTCAATAACCTAATGCAAGCCACAGCAGTTGTTCACTTTTCTCCTCTGAGCAAAAAGAAGCCACGGCAACAGGAAAAATCTGTGTCCCAGTAATTCTGTAAGACAGACCACTGCTAAGCAAAAGCAATAGCTGCAACTACAAAATGCCACAGTATAGGGTGCCGCAGTGCTCCAACAAGTATTTTACATTCATTGTATGGCAAGTCATCATTTAGGCAAACTAGATAATCTGCATTAAAGTTTCAAACGGGAGGACTGTATCCAGTCTGTATCCAGACTGTATCCTGGTATCCATCCAGGGCTACCAGGATGATCAGAGGCCTGGAACATCTGCCCTATGAGCAAAGGCTGAGAGAGCTGGGTCTGTTCAGCCTGGAGAAGAGGAGGCTGAGGGGGGACCTGATCAGTGTGTATAAATACCTCAAGGGAGGCAGTGAGGAGGAGGGGGGCGGCCTCTTTTCAGTGGTGGGCAGGGATAGGACTAGAGGAAATGGCTTCAAACTGAAGCATCGGAAGTTCCACAGGAACTTAAGGAAGCATTTCTTCACTGTGAGGGTGACAAAGCACTGGAACAGGCTGCCCAGAGAGGTTGTGGAGTCTCCTTCTTTGGAGATCTTTAAAAGCCGCTTGGATGCAGCCCTGTGCCACGTGCTCTAGGTGACCCTGCGTGAGCAGGGGGGTTGGACTCGATGACCTCTGAGGTCCCTTCCAACCTTCGGCATTCTATGATTCTATGATTCTATGACTGTATCTGCTCTGTATTGATCTGATTGAAACGTCAAAAGAATAAAAGAAAAAGGAGATATTAGCCCCAGATTTTGGCCAGCCCTGAAGCAGTGCTTGGGCAGTGAGACTTTGATAAGAGCCACCATGACACACCCAAGGTTGTGCAGGAGGGAAGAACGGAATCCTCTCTTTTCTGCCTTCTCCAGCAGATGTGGTGATGATCCACGAGTGTATAGTTCTCATTCAGAGGAGTTACTTTCCCCCAAGAGCTTTAATGTAATTTTCAGGCAAACGGTTTCCTAGCCCCCATTTCTCTCGTTTCTTAAATATATGTTTCCTCCAGAGGCAAGGTTAATATGCCTCTGAAACAGAACTGGATGTGATTCAGCCCAGTCAAAACGAATCAGATCCTTCAGATTTGAGGTTTATGTGCTACATTTAAGTGATCTGCTAATGAACATGAACTGAAAAATAGAGTGCTGTTAGTCACAGGGAATTCACTGACATTCATTCGCTTTGATTATTTTCTTTCTCTTATCTGTTGGTGCCAACATTATCTGACAAAATTTTCTTTTTTTTAACTTGTTGGAGGATTTTTTTTAATCAACAACATTATTGACTTATTATTGCTTTATGAAGAGAGATTGAATAGTAAAAGCTTTTTCTATCCAGAAAATATACATCAATTATTGGAGTTAACATCACAGGTGCTAGGGCAGTGTGGGAACAAGGAGAGGTTCCCAGGTTGCTGTTGGCTCTGGAAATGTCCCCACATTCACACCATCAGAGCCCATTGATCTCTGTGGCCTGGTGAAAAGTACTCAGGGTTGGKTCTTGAGGTTCTAAAAGAGGGTTAATGTATGGGTTAGACCTCTGAAGTTTGTCCATAGAGTATGAAAAAGTTGTTTCCTACTTTTTTTGATGGATCYTGGCACCTAGAGAGACTTCACTTTCTTCAGTACTCACTGAGTAACCTTAGGTGTTTGATAGTGCTTGATGGCAACAGCCATGAGGAGCATCATAGTAAAAGGGATCTTAAGCATTTTGCAGCCAACAAATGTATGGGAAAAAGGAGCATGGAGTAGTCATTACATGCGCCTGATAAAGCATTAAATTAAAGAAACATTGACTTAAAGTGTTCACTTTTCAGAAGATAATTTGGCTCTTTAAAGGAAAAAGTGACCTTGTGATCAATGCACTAAAGCAGAGCTCAGGAGACAAGTTAAAARTCTAATTGGTTCCACAGTTTTTATGACTCTGATTCATCCAATCTAACTTTAGCTACCTGTAAGTAAAGTATTTAATCTATGCTAGTTATTCAAGATCCTCTGTGAGAGAGACACATTTCTAGTTCATCCAACCTGTCTTACAGGATACATTTATGGAGCCTTATTACTTTCCTGTGCTAGAAAGCGAGGCTTTCYATCTTCTGAACCACACAGTTTTGTGAATTCATCTCATCCATCTTCAACACTACCTTGGCACAGCAGCTGTGAGACTGAAACACAGAAAACTAAAGTATAGGACTAAAACATAGACTAAAACATAGGACTAAAGCCAAACCAAACTAGACTAAACATAGACTGAAAATCTGAAGCAAAATGGATAATAATTATGCTTTGTGTTTTGTTAGTCATATTTCTTTTTGTAAGCTTCAAAGGTTTAAATTATGTTCATACAGTGCCCTGCAGTGTCTCATTTAGAAGTTTTAATTCAAATTTCACTTAGCAGACTTGAACACAGAAGAAAATAGAAGTTATATAACAAAATTAATATGAGTAGCTTCCCCTCTCTGTCCCACAATGACAGTATTGAAGAAATGGCAATATCTCATATAGCTTAGCAGATCAACATGTGATCCTAGGCTGATTGACCTTTGAGAAAGTGCCTGGTCTCACACTTTTAGCATTTATGTGTTAACATTTGCAAGGAATAGCACAGTGCTAAATTTTGTCATCTGATCTTCAGAGGTGCAGACTCACCCACGCTATCATTTTAGTAATCATTTTAATCATTTTAGTAATTTCTTGAATAAGGTTGGTTTGACTTCGGTTTTTCTTGCAGAGAGCCCTATTTTTRCATCCAGCATTATTGTAAGCTGTTTTGTGATCAGCTAAAATTAGCAAAATGTGATTTTAATTTTGCCTTTTTTTCTCTCCCTCTCTTTTAGTGGCTGCATCAACTGCTAATTCCACAGCTGGCGCAGCCATGAATTCTTTGACTTCTCTGGGTACTCTCCAAGGACTGGCTGGAGCCACTGTTGGATTGAATAATATTAATGCACTAGCAGGTACCGTAAACAGTGAGTATTTACTGCTGTGGTGGACAGCCTTCCCCAATTATCATGCCATAAAAAGCTATCAATTGTAAAGTGAAGATATGATTATTTTTAATCTATGTGAAAAATAAGGGGGTCAAGTTGATCTAGTTTCATTCATGGTGCATATGCAGTTCTGGAGTCTTTAAAGTTTCTCATGAGTTCCTCTGCAAAGTGAAGTCTCTTGGTTCCCTGCAAAAAGACTCCTTTTCTTGCAGGGTAAATGAAAGGTGAAAGGAAAGTCAGCAGGAATTCTCGTTATTTAGATAGGAGAAGCTCTTTTTCCATTTGAGGAGTCTGAGAACAGTTATAGTAGCATCTCCCCATACAAAGTGTACCCAGAAATGCAGGGATGAGAGATGCATGTTTGCCACAGAGATAGTCCTTTTCAGGTATCTCTAGGAATTATCAAATTGACTTGAGAGCAATATGTCTGCCTTAAAAGTAAAGGCAGCTCTTTGTCATTTTAATTGGCAAGTGTGAGAGAAGAGTCAGTCACCTGTAATACCAGACCACAGGCATCTATCTTATGACATCTCAGACAAATCCTGACATCTCCACTAAACAGATGGTGGCATTTGTGGGAATCTTCTTCGTGGTTCTTAATCTTGGTCAAGATTTTCCTGAAAAACAGTGATCCTTTCTATTGTTTCTGTTATGATGACTTCACCTTTGCCTGTAATGGAAGAGATTTTTCCAGCTGCATTTTCTTTTTCTTAGCTGCTGTTGTTCCTTGCATTTCCTTCTGCAATGCAAGGAATCTCCTTGGTCATTGCCAGCCCCATGAGCCACTATAATGTACCCCCAGGAATGGATGTCCTCCTCAGTATCACTTGCTCACTCTGATGCTCTGCATGATGTCCTTTTTGTCAGTGTGATTTGGCTGGTCACTCAGTTCTTTTGTTCTGTGATCTCTGGTTGTCGTTGTTGGGAGTGGGAACGCAAAGGGGTTAATGGATGTCCTTGTAGCAATGGTGACGAATTGCATGGGGCCTTGTGTAAAACAGATCTTGCTTCTGGCAAGGACATGTGTCTTTCACATGAACACCCTCATAGTAAAGATGACTYAAGAACACAGTTTAAGAAAAGTAAGTATATTAGGTCCCCAAATGGCCARTGTTAAGTTCTTCTCATATGCTTACGTATTATTAAAGCAAGTCACTGAAAATGGCACTCAAGAAAACTAATTACTCTCATGAGTATCTCAGTGATAAACCTTATCATGAGTAAGAAAACATTAGATGTTTTTTTCCTGGTCAACAGTCATGTTCTGTAAACCATGTTTTTCATGGTTTGTAAGTAGTCACAGTACCAAGAACAGAGTATGGCTTGCCACAAGTAATAAACACTCAAGCACCTTAAAGCACTACAAGATAACATCCCCTTCATCAAGAATGACCAAGAATAAATCACCTGTGAGCTGTTCACTTGCTGTGGGAATGCTTGTTACACTCCTTTTAGCACTTCTCACTAGGTTACAAACAGAGATTTCAGGTGACACGTGTGCAAACTTATCCACGCATGCTGTTTGAAGCACTAGTGATGTATTCACAACCTACTGCCAAACTCTGCCTTGTTTTAGGCCACACTGGTTTCCATGGATTGTACCAACAATTATTTTAGTCCCAAATCTTGTCCATGGATTAATCCCAAATCTTGTCTATGGATATTTTTATAAGCACAGAGAGTGTATATGCCTAGAATTTCTTGTTTGTGTGTAAAATAAAATACATAAAATGTATGTGAGTATGGCTGGCTATCTATATATGTACAGATCTATATACATTTGTGAAAGAGGTCTAAAGCAGGGAAGCTTCTTCATATGTTGTGCTTTAGCCCCTGTTTCTCTCAAAAGGGTGTTACTGATTATCAACTTCAGGCCCTTGTCATGCTAATGATAGCCAAACATTGTCCAAATTATAACAAGAAACATCCCCTATTTTAAGCATGAGCATGAGCTTAGAGACTGTTTCTGATCCAGTGTTTACACTCAGACCTTTCTAGGAGCTTACATTCAGCAAATTTAATATACAAAGAGTCTGCTGTTCCGCCGTACAGTGCGGTCACAAGCAATCCATACAAGCACTATTTTGTCATGAAGGTCACTGGAGTTATTGTGCAGCAAAGCTGGAACTTAGTGATGTGCTTTTAGTTGTAGAAAGATGCGTAACTTGATGCCTGTTGGCCTTAAAGAAAGTGGAGGATGGTAAGTTTAGCTGTCTCCAGGGATGAAGCAACAGTTGTAGACACCTTTGGGGATTCACTGTTTTGTGATGGCCCAGTCTTCCCTCAGCTGTGCTTGAAACATCTAAACCCTTAAATAACAGACCATCAGACTTTCTTCTTTTGGGGGAAATACATGTAAATAATGTGACTAACAAAAAGAAATATGAATGATGAGGAAAAGTGAATAAAGAGGAGGAAGAAACATTCTTTGCAATTACAGCGAAGATTTTAGAGATTCAGGATATTGGACAACTATGGCAAAATATTGTATGTGACCCCCAGCTGCCCAGTTGGCATTTCTGCCCCAGTGTTTGAGTGTGTAAAACAGACATAAAAGTGTTTGTGACAGATTTGAAAGTGCTTGGAAAGCACTTTGAGAGACCTTTGTAGTTACTAAGATTGTCACTTCTGTATTGTATAGAATAACTCAAAAAAARAAATAGTTAGAAGGCCACAGATGAGAGCATCAGCTAGAATAGTTATTCCCTAGAAGTGAGCAAGGGACCAGAGTTCAATAAGGCTGTGATGCGCTGGTGAAGATGACACAGAGACTCAGGGAGGTGGAAGTGCAGTCAGCCCTTGAAGATTTTGTTAAAAAAATACAAAAAGGCAGAATAAAGCRAATGCAGGAGCCTTTCTGCAGGACTGTTTTGCTGAGAAGGCAGAGGTGCCACGTGTGCGTGGTGGCAGTGCCCTTGTGGGTGCASAGTGGTGAGCCCGGCTGTCTCCTTGCTGAGCTGAATTCACGTGGCAGTGGGAGCTATTGATCGGAGGCAAAAGCACCTACAGTCGCACAAAATGTACCTATCTGATGGGCCGATGACTCACAAAAGATAACATGTTATCCTAATACTTTCTCCTTTATCAATTTTTTCCAATGCTATAGTAAAGGAAGAGGCACACACTTTTTATCCAGAGCCTTTACTTGAATCAGTGCTGTATGCACGTCCATGCATGCAGTGGCACAAACCTTAATGCAGAAACATCAGAGTGGATTAAGATAGGGCTCAGCATCGAACCGCTGCRTTATCACCATCGCTTGAGCCATCGTTTTCAAAACGCCCAGACTTTTAGAAGTGAGAGACTCACAGATTGCATATTGGTTTCTCAAAAGTTGTTTTTGAATCCAGAGATGTTATGCCACAAATAGGGCTCTCTTGTGCTCAGATGCAGGGTGATATTCAAAGCACTATCATCTCCTATGGGGAAACAGCAATGTTGTGAAGTGGGGCAAGGGGAAGGCAAAATCTTCAAAGTGCAAGACATTTTATTTAGCAGAGGCTAAGAATATCACATCTCGGTCAAGTGTTTAGTCACACAAATTATAGCAATATCAAAAGGTGTAATTTATGCAGTAGAGTCCTCTTAATTGGCACAGACTGGGCTGGAACCAGAAAGGTGCCACTTAAGCAATTGTCCTGATTATCAGAGACTCATAGGAATACACTTTGCAAATCTCCATAAGAGATGGAAGAAAACTAGTAGGTCAGCATCTTTATCCTCCTCTGTCAATGCAGGATAATTCCCAGCGGTATGCTTTCTGTCTCCGAATTATTTGTGTGGTAAGGTTTCTGCCACGCTCTTTGAGGAGGCTTGTTTCCCAGTCTAATAGATCTCCTTGTTAATGCACTCTAAAGTGTCTGCTCCTGAATTTGCTCACTTTCCTCCRAATTAGATATAACCCATTATTATTGCTCTGAAATTAATCCCTCTTTTACTTTTTAATACTGATAGCCTTTGGCTCCTTAGTGTGGCCCCACCAACCCTCTCTTTACCCATTATTTTGCCAACRTAGAGGCTGTCCTTGATAGCCAGTATCTAAGAAATGGTCACTCGTGGTTCTGTTTTTTCCCAGGAAATTATTTTCAGCACTCTGAGCAGTCTAGTGAAGACCTCTTAAGATGTTTGTGAACTGTTTGACCAAAGAACAAGGAAACATGGGAAACTAGAAAATTTGACACAATTCTTGGAGCTTTTGAGGAGTGATTGCTCATGTACCATCAGTGAGAGCTGTAGGAGATAAGCAGGTCTCTAAAGTCAGGCACCCTTTCCAATGCCAAAGGGATTGTCTGCAGAAAATTCACTTTCTCTGGAGCTTCTAGGAAAAAAGAAAAATCTTAATGTTTTTCACTTTAATGTGGCTCACTTAGGAGCTACACTAAAGACTCACACTGAGGAGTCTGCCAACCATGGGAAAACTTACTTTGCCAGACATACCGCTTAGACACACAAGGGATGCCATTTGTTGCACACCTATTGACCTCGTCTGAAATTCCTTCTTGGATATTCATCACAGTTAAAATAATCTGYTATTTATCAATAAAGAGAATTGATTTAAATAATAATAAATAAAAGTGACTCTGAATCCAGTGAGGAGGAATTCCCATAATGTTCATGAGAGCTGTTCCCAAATGCAACTAATGCAATAAATGACCATTCTCCACTAACTTTACACCCCGTGCTAATTTGTTACAGTGTGGTGATGCTAAAGATGTTGGCCAAAATGCCTAGTGCCCATTTTTTATCTAGACTCTGCTCTTTCCTGTGGCCCTGCTTGCAGGGCCGAGGGTCAAGCGATGTCCACTTTCCTGATTTCCAGCACCTGGAACCATGTAGGCAGGAACGCTACCCAAGGTGGACCAGGAGGCTTTCGGAACTGTAGGACTTGCCAGGAGCAGGCTGCATGCGAGTGGGCTTGTCCGACCGTTGCACCAGCGTCATGTCTTGGCACCGTTGGGTGAAGCGCTCGCCTGCATGCGTGGCCGTCGGCGGCGTCGCGTGGAAGCGGCGATTTTCGGAGAGCACTAATGAACAAGTGCAATTTCTTCTCTCTATTGTTGGGTTTTTTGTAAAGTTGCTCAAATGCTCTCAGGTATGGCGGCCCTGAACGGCGGACTCGGCGCCACCGGCTTGACGAACGGCACGGCCGGCACCATGGACGCGCTCACCCAGGCCTACTCAGGAATCCAGCAGTACGCGGCCGCCGCACTGCCCACCTTGTACAGCCAGAGCTTGCTGCAGCAGCAGAGCGCGGCCGGCAGCCAGAAGGAAGGTAAGCGGCCCCAGCGCTCAGTAAACGACGTTTGACCATTTGACGGCTGGTTGGCGACCTCCAAACGACGTTTGGAAGCAGTGGTTGGGGCTTCCTTCTTCATGAAGCAGTTGGTCCTCACTGAAAGGCCTTGTTCAGCCTCACCTTTCCTTCCCAACATCTCTCCTTTCCCATTTTAACCCCCAACTTAATTCACTTTTTTGCCCTCATGATGTATTTTGCTGCACTGTCTTTGCTATTTGCAAGCAGCTGCAGAAGGTCCATGGTGAAGAATCTCACTTATACTCCTGTCTCATTCCTAGTATCTTTCCCATTTTAGCCCCAACTTAATTCATTTTTTGCCCTCGCGATGTGTTTTTCTGCCTCATCTTTGCCATCAACAAGTGGCTGTCACTTGTAAAAAGACAAAGGGTTATTTTTGCTTCCCTTCCAAAATTCTGGCTTATTCTAGGAGGACTGGAGAGTATTGTAGGCTTCCTAAGATTGCATCTGTGTTGCCATTACTGCTCTTGCCAGGAATAAGCTTTGGAAATAAACCTAGTATGAGATCCTCGAGAGAAATATTTTCATCCTCTTTTAAAGTAATATCTTGTGCTGTTATGGGCTGTGGTTTTTCCTTGGAAGACAAAGTTAGCATTTCCCCAGCTGGCCATAACATATATAAAGACACTGTGGAGTTAAAATGAATATTTTTCTCTAAATTCTTCACCTGATTTACTGCTAACAATTTGGACTATTTAAACTGAAAGATTTTTTTAATCCTTTTTTTTCCCTTATTTTAATGCTCTGTTTTTGCTTTTATTGCACTCATTTTGCCCAGTAACAATTTGACACCAAAATTTTTTGGTGTCATTATAAAACAGTTTGTTTATAGATGTAGTATATATTTCAGTTTATGAACATTCATATTAAGCTGGCTTTTTTTTTTTTTAGTATAGTGTCTCTCTTGGAGTAGTCTTTTTTGTCATATCTTGTGTTTTTTAGTAAAGGTGAAGTGAATAAATTTCATCACTACTGTTATGTTTTGCTTCTTAAGCTATGTTTTGTCTTTTAATATATGATTTCTGATGAACTGATGAAGAAGCCAGAATGTTCTTAGGAAAATTGGTGAAAAGCAGTTCAGAAATATTTAATACTGAAGCACAATGAACAGACTCATGCAACTACTGCAAACGATTTATACTATTGGTATATTTTCAACCTAGCTACTATTTGGGGACTTTATTATTATTATTATTATTATTATTATTATTATTATTATTTTACAAAGTTTCTTTCAAGAGACAGAGAAAGGCATTCTGAAATGAATTCTAACCAATTTCTCTTGCCCAATATCAGCTGGAAAGCTTTGTTTTGTCTCACCTTTTCCCCGCTATCACTATCCAGTTTCAGTCTCCCTTATTCAAATCCTACCCCACTTCCTTGCATTTCCATATGTATTCCCAGATGGAATCAAGCCCCGAAACCCCTGGGGCTGTGTAAGGCAGTTTATGGGATGCTGACTGAGGGTAATACATTGTGTACCTGCTTTCAAACCCTAATTGCACCTAAAGACACTTGTACAAATTGAAGAGAGAGGCTGCAGCTTAACTTCTTTTATAGCAGACATAGCAAGTAAACACTTTGTGAGGTAGGACACTCTTAAGAGCTGCATTTCAACTCTGGTCTTTTGATAATCCACTTACTTTTCTTCCTTCAAGCCAGGAAGTGGAGTGCTTTTTCTGACCATCACCTTCAATAAGTGTTATGGGGAAAAAAAAAAAGATTAAATTGTAATAGCTGCTTTCATGCTTTTTTTTTTTGTTTTCCTAAAGGTCCAGAAGGGGCAAACCTCTTTATTTACCACCTCCCCCAGGAGTTTGGAGACCAGGACATTCTGCAGATGTTCATGCCTTTTGGAAATGTTATCTCTGCTAAAGTCTTCATTGACAAACAGACCAATCTGAGCAAGTGCTTTGGTATGTCAAATTTAATAAATCAAATAGTAAAAACCGCATGCATTGCACTGAGAAGGGGCCGGGCAAGAAAATTAATGACAATGTGAGAAATGTCATTTTGACATTTCATTCGCAATGTAATGGAATTGTAATCCTCAAATGAACGGGAAGATTCAGAGGCAAACTAGTTCTAACTAAAAACTGGATATGAAAAAACAATAATAATCCTCCAGTCTGACATCTCGCGTGAATGTGTCAGGCACAGGAAACTAATTACACCCTATGTGGGGGAATGTCATTTAGTATGCTATTAAGCTGCCTTATTATGAGTACCTAATTATTCTCCATTGTATAGCTGAGCCACTTCAAAATACTCCATGTTTAACCCATTACTTCTACATTACAGGAATTTCTTTCTTCTGAAATAAGTACAAGATTGTGCAATTAGTGCCTGAGTGGGATGTACACGTAGTTCATAACCCTTTACAGACAGTTGGTATCTAGCTACGTAGCTTCAGCAGTTGCAGGAAAGTCCAGTGAATCACAGAAGACAGCACCTCACCTTGCTATAGGGTATGGATGAAGACAGCCTTGTACATCCAGTGCCAGGTTTCCCAAAGGGTGCCAGGAAATGAGATGGGAATATGATGTGTTGACATAAAACAAGCTCTAGGGTTGGTTAAATGGGATGATGCCTTCCAAATAACATAGATTCGCTTGCATATCACTAGTTCTTAAAAACCTAGGTTCTCTTAAAATGCGGCTTATCTACACAAGCATCATTCAAGAAGAACTATTGTGCTTTAAGCTGTTCAAATGATTTAATTTATCTGGACAGATAGGGCCAATAATCATTCATATATTTCACTAAAAAACAAGAGAAAAGGCAGTGCATTATTTTGCATTTCTTATTGTTCTTGTAGTCCCTTTCTGACAAATTCCATCTGTTGAGGCTTTTCAAAAATTGGTCATCTCCAATTTAATACGGTCCCCTACCTTTCTGCAACAGATTAAAACACTCCCAGGCACTGTAACAAAGTTGAAAAGTGAAATTGGAATGGGATCCCTATTGATCTGCAACCAGTTGAGTCTGTATGCTGGGATGAGAAAATCATGGTTGAAGTCTTCAGGAATCTTGACAAAACGTCAAATCAAGCTATGGTCATCACAACTGCTGCCTTTTGATTAATTCTGATAGAACATAGATGAGTTTGGACAAGGAGTTAAATTGACCATCTCACTTCCAACACTTGCTCTTGGTGCGTTTCTTGTACTCTTTGATTACCTGTGCCTTAGATTATCTGTGTCTTAGTTAATGGGATACAGTTATCTAACTGTAGTTATAAAACTGCAGTTATAAAACTGCATTGGGTTTTACCTGACAGAATATTAATCCCCAGAGGATRGAGGAGTCTTCCACCTTTTTGATATTAATCAGGTTTCACTAATATTTACATGTCTGATTCTTCCTCCTCAGATATTGTGCCACCACTGTTCAGCTTTAAAAACMAGAAGTCCTGAGGTGGCAGAAGCAATTGAGATTTTTTGATTCAGTAGGTGACCACSTGGGTCATCCTGCTAATCATAAGCAAAGCTAGCATGAATCCTGCTGGTTTAACATATTGTATCTATGTATGTATCTTCTCTGCCTTAGCAGCAAGAATGATCTATTTGTTTTGTTGACTSCATGACAATAATAATACAGACCTTTTCCCATGGACATACCTTTGGACCACCAAACTCTAATTGATTTAGTAGTCAAAGGGTTTCAGTCTTTGAACTTCCTCTTTCCTGTCATAGATCCTGGAATAACAGAARTGAGGCAGTGTCAAAGTAAGGCAAGGGATAGGGGACCCTGTGACATCAATGCACAAACTAATCATGATAAAAAATAGTTATCCTGGTTATAGAATACCTAGAACAAAGATCAGATCGTCATGTCACGGTATCATCACAACAAGTTCTTTGAAATTTGATAAGAAACATCAGCCCTTCCAAATGCAACCTGTAGTTTAAATTTCAGCCAAGAAATGATGAATGGGTGCAATCAGAAAAAAAAAAAAAAGAAAGAAAAGTTAATAAATACATGGAGAGAATGCCAGATTCCTCCTTAAGTCTTATAAATGGAGATTCTCAAGAAGGGGCAAGATGCAAGGGTAGCAGGCTAAGGTACAGCATTCCATGCGCACAAACAAACTGAGAGTGAGAATAACAACTGGGTGAGAAAGACAATAAGCTCGAATTTGTGTCTGAGTCAAGGAAGCTAATACAGAGATGCAGAATGAGGTGACTTATCTCTGCCCTCTGGGAGATAAGCATAGCCTAAGCTAATTATTCCTCTGTCATTAGTGGAGGTGTCTAAATTGCTTGTCTAAGTGGTGAGTGGAACAAAAAGCTCTGAATGTACCCACTCCCTTTCATTGACTTACAGATGCCACCTAAGTGACTAGGTTAGATCAAATGCTTAACTTTGAGAAACTAGTGAATATGACAAGTGGTGATGGTAAGTTTATAATAGAAGATCATTTTGAATTAACTTTAGAGAATAACATGAAGGTCAGGAAGGCTATAGAGGCAAAATTTGAGTTGTCAAGATAGTTAACATTGCTATACCTTGATTGTGGAGCACCTGCCTGGAAAATGCTGCAACTGGCTTCCAGTTCATGGTAGACTTATTTTCTATCCCCAAGGAAGCTCCAGCAATAGAGGCTGAAATCTGTGTGTTGATGGAAATAAACACAGGAGTGAAGTGTTGAAAGCAGGTGAGGAGAAAGGAGGAGAGTAGTGAGGCTCTTCAGGATATGGAAATAGGAGGAAGTGATAAGGAGAAGAAAGTAAGGAAGTGACGAGTGACCAAAACCAAGGGAAGTAGGAAGGAACTTCTTAAACCTTTATGAGCCTATGAATAATCAACCACAGAAGAACAGGGAGAGAGCACATGGGTTTTGTTTGGTAGAAAGTCTGCAGAGACTTGAGTGAGAGGTTTCTTTGAGTGAAAGGAGCAGAAGTTAGGCTGAATTGACAGACACCTTAGGTGGATGCCTTGGTGATGCTGATGTAAAGTGAACAGTAGGTTTGTGAAGGAAGAAGGGAAACCAAGGGACCAAATGACTTAGTAGGATTTTTTTTTCTTTATAATGGAGAAAGTGTATTATTAGATACCAGAGCTGAAAGAGAGCAGCAATGAGAGATAAATAAAAGCCATAAAACAAAAGTTTAAAATGATAGTAAAAAAGATGAGGTTAGGAATCAGAAATGGATGGAGACACTAAGTACAAATGAAGAAGAACAGATGAAGGAAGAAGAGAGGAGCAAAGCATCCACATCAGAGCAGAAAACAAAAAGTATGGGGTCTGGGCTTTAGTAGAGTGAAAGGACCTGTGGTAAGGGAAATTCAAGCAKAGGGATTGGGGAGCATTTCCAGGCAGATGCACAATAGCTGCAAAAGAGCAGCAATTAGAGCAGAGGCAGAGCAGCGGTTAGGAGAGCTTTACAATTACGAGTGGGAGACCCAGATATGAAAATGAATTTTGATCCTCCAGAATCAAGGAGGGTTTGAGTCCATTATGAACAGAGAGTTTTTAGTCTCTGGCGGGGAAAAGGAAGATGAGTTGGGTTATCCCCTGGCACGTGTTATCCCCCTCATCGGTGCCCGGGGCTGAGGAGCAGGAATCTGGAACTCTTGTCAAGCCCTGCTGCTGCCTTTACGATGTTGCTTAATTTCAACCTTTGCACACCCCATCAGGGAGCAGGAGACTGCATTAATTAACATTTAACACACCTTGACATCTTGAATAGGAAGGAGCTGGAGAAATACTAATATTGCCATTGTCCTAGGCCAAATGCAACAAGACAAGGGCTTTGCTTCACACAGGACCAATACATGTGAATTAATGTTGGGAGGTGGAAAACGCTTATGGGCGTCCAACCTAGGGTGTTGTGTCCTAAACCAGGCTTTCCTTTCAGCTTCCCATCTGCAGACTGGCCTAATAGCAGTTGCTAATAGGGTGGAAGGTAGGTAAAGGTTACGGTGACCAGTGCTACTGTAATAAGCTCTTCAGACCAAAGGTRGGTAGATAAATAAGAGTTTGGGAAACTGCAATGCACCAAAACCATCCACCTGCATCTCCGCAAGGAGAGGAATAGTGGATGAAGGTAAAGAGGAGGAAGGAGAACAGGAGAGGAAAGGTTTTAATCAGAGAAATAATTGCAGTTGAGGGAGAGGTGTCGTGTAGCTGGTATTAATGCAATCCAGAAGCCTTCAGAGATGTGCTCTAACGTGCGGTCCACTTTCTCTCCCGCCTCCGCTCTGTGTCTCACAGGTTTTGTTAGCTATGACAATCCCGTCTCCGCACAAGCTGCCATCCAGGCTATGAACGGCTTTCAGATTGGCATGAAACGCTTGAAGGTTCAGCTGAAGCGCTCCAAAAATGACAGCAAACCTTACTGATCTTAACCCCAGATGCTTACTGCTCTTATTTTAGCTTTCTTAGGGTAAGTCCCATGAGCAAACCTGTCCTCTGCAGGGGGGTTAAGAAAGAACATATAGCCAACCTTCACCAAGAGACAGTTGTTTTTACAGTTACCACTTCCATTTCCCTACTTGCCCTTATTAGACTTGGCTCCCGTTTCTTTGCCAAGCAGTTACTGAGTTGTGTTACTGTGTTTTGTTTTGCAGCATAATTTATCTCCTTTTTAACAAACAAACAAACAAAAAACCTTGAAATTCAATGCAGCACACACGCACACACACACACACATACACACACACACAAAAAATGTGCAATTTAACTCTGTGAACCCTGGTGCCATTAGCACATAATAATAGTTGTTTTGTACGGATGGATCCTATTTTACCAGGGTGGCACCAGCAGTTTATAGGTTAAA